TCCCTAGGGGCCATTCACAGGGCGAGGCTATTCTCTTCCTGGGTGTTAGTACGGATCCAGGACAGGAAGCGCGAGACCCTTGTGTAGACACCCGGCTTGTCCTTCATGGCACAGTCACGGCCCCAGCTCACAATCCCAGTCAGAGTCAGGCGGCCTTGGATGGGACAGACCAGGGGTCCTCCTGAGTCTCCCTGTAAAGCCAAAGATACAAAAGGTGAGCCCTGGAAGAAGTTAGGAGGGGGCCATCGGATCCTACCACCCAATCATGCTGGAGAGAGAAGGGAGAGTGTCCCAGAGTCCAAGTCCTCGGTGACTACCATTTCCCACCACGTCAAGTTTAAAATCCCCCGCTTGGCTTTCAACACCCTGTTACCTGCCACCATTCCACCTACATTCTCCAGCCCTTCCTCTCCTCCCATCCTGGAATACGCTGCCCTCATTCTCATTTTTATATCTTGCAACTGAGATGCATGCTCTTCTTTCTTTCCTTTGCCTCCTTGAATCCCTATTGAGTCACCGTCTCTTTAAAGCTTCCCCCTCCATGACCATCTATCTAGTTGGCACTCACCACCTTCTCCTCATTATCTGATTGTTTATAATTCACACCACACCTGAACACTGAGCGGTATTACTTTCTATTACTTCTTCTTATTCCCCTCTCTCCCCCAGCCTGCAGTGCCTACTACCAAGACAGGCCGATAACAAATGTTTGGTAAAAACGTAAGGATTGGTTTAAACATTATAAAACTTGAGCTCTTGATTCTGGCTTCTTGGGGCTTTGGCTAGCAAGAGGCTTCCCAAAGCTGGCAGAGACATGCCCAGGAGCCCTGGAGAGATGGGGGTGATGGAGAAAGATGCTTAGAACTCTCACCTGGCAAGAATCTGTTTCCCACTGTGGGTCAGCAGCACACAGCATTTTGTTGGTGACTTCAGAGCCATAGTAGTGGGGCTGCTGACACTTCGTGTGGGAAACCAACTTCACAACAGTCATTTTCAGCTGCTCCGAATAGACATAGTCATCTGGATGGAAGAAACATGAAAGAATTTATGTCAAGATGTGTCTGTCCAGCCTTCCCACTGGGACTCTCTGCCAGGGAGGGAACCAAAAAGTATTCCTACAAGGGAAAGTCTCTATTCTTTTTCCGCCCAAATCTGTTTTTACACCACCCAACTATGTACCTTTTAGCCCCTCACCGCCCAACTATGTACCTTTATAGTTCACCATTCCCTAAAAAATGCTCCCGATTCCATCCCTGGACCCATCCGCTATTTCCACAGTCCTCCTCAGTCAAGCTGAGCTTAACTCCAGTGACAACACTCCCCCAGGACCCTGTCAGTTAGCCTCAAAGGTCACTTACTGCTATTCTCTTTTCCAAAGCCAGTGATCTCACAGCTTGTGTCAAAACTAGGATCACGAGACTCTGGCGGTAGGCAGATGGTCTGAATGGATCGGGATGGCTGCGCACACTGGCTCAAGTTGGAACTGATCTTCAGCAAGGCTAGGGGAGGGGGAAGACATCAGAGGAGAAAGATCACCACCTGGTCAGGTGGTCACTGTCTCTCTCCTCCAAATGCTGAGGGAGCAGCTGGCTATCCCTAGGTCAGTTAGCGATCCCTAGGTCAGAGATCATCCTGGGAGGTGTGTGGGTAGTATGAAACCAGCCTCCCCTGTACCATGCCTCATGGGCTTTGTTCCTGCTGCTGACAAAGGCTTGGACAGCCAGGGCTAATGCATACAGCTATACAAGGTTTTTTTTCCAACAAAAAGCCTCAGCTGAGGTAGTTGGGCTGAAATGCAGCCCAACGCTCTCTCAAAGGTCTGTATCCTGGGACAGACAGAGCCTGCGTCTAACAAAGGAAGGATCATCCCAGTCCAACTATCTGCTTATAGGGCCACTGCCACCCAGAGAAGGCTACTTGTTTGAAAATTCAGGGACTTTACATGGGAGCACCAAGCCCCTCATATATGTATATCACCCCTCCCCCCACCCTTCCCCACTTCTCTCTTTGTTGTGTAAAGTAGGGTCTTCAAGTTCCCCTCCAACCACAATCCTGCTCCCACTTGAGTATCTTTGAATGCCCCCTCTCCTGGCCATCATGGTGACGGTCGATAAGGGGTCTTCCACTCACCTATATCATTGTGGTGAGCAAGTCCGTCAGCACTATAGCCCTCGTGCAAGATGAGCTTTTTCACCTCAAACTTCATCTCCCCAGGTGTATTAGAGTTCAGACGTGACCGACCCAGGTAGACGATGTAGCCCTCCTTCCTTGGGTCATTACTGTAGGAAGGGAGACCTGTCAGATAGTCTGATCTCATGAGATCCTGTCACTTCCTCCTCCCCACCACAGTGACCTCAGAGCATGACTTGTCCCCAAGGCTAGGGGCTGCATGGAAGGGCTGACAGGGTAGAATTAAAGTGGAATCCTTTTCTGGGAAGGAGAAAAGGAGGTGTTTGGGGGAGGGCAGGAGGGTCTGGGAGAAGAGACAGAAGGACGTACATGAAGCAGTGTGTGGCGCTGACCACCCAGCAAGGACTGATGAGGCTGCCACCGCACATGTAGTTCACAGAACCTGAACGGTGCTTCTTATAGATGGCTGCAAACCAAGGCTGGTTCTCAATGTCGGTGAATTCTCCTCCGACAATCTTAAAGCGGGGCCTCAGAGCCTTCTGGCCACACTGAAACTCTTTTTCAGTTGGAGAATAAGTACCTTTTCCTGGAGGAGAAAGAGAGGGATGTCTTAGGAAGATAGGTAGGATAAAGTTCCCCTCTCCTCATCCTCTGACCTCCTAGTTTTGGGGGCCAAAGAAGCCTCCATCCTCATACCCTCCCCCACCCGCTTGAATAAGAGGACTTAGAAGTGTGTCCCCTTTCACCGACTGTCATAAACAGGTCGGTGACACTCACCAAACGAGCAGTCTGGCACCAGGCACTGTTGGACAAGCTGCTTCAGGCCAACCTGCACATAGCACCAGGGCCTCCTCTGGTTGTCTGGGTTCCTGACAACAGAGAGCGAAGAGGAACGTCACTTCAACACAAATGTCTTTCCTGCATCCTCCCCTCCACGAAAGAGGTAACCAGAGGCCTTGCCTTCCTCATGTTGTGGCCAGCACTCTAGGAGCCGAAGGGACTGTGGGGCCATGGGGAAGGTCCTTGCTGCCCCCACCTCACCTGCAGTAATTGTGTTTCCCCAGGCCCAGCTGAAGAGCATCATGTCTCTGGGCGTGGTACGGTTTGAGCTGAAGGACATTGGCAGAGTTCCAGGCCAGGCAGGGCCGGCCACTCATGTCGGTGTTGGCCTTTCCTCGGTAAGAGTGACCGTTTCCCTGATAGCAGGTTTTTGATGTATCTATGGAAAGAGGCGAGGATGAGAGAATATCGGAAAGAGGAGGAAGTTCAGGCAGATATTTTAGAGATGCTGTCAGGCCTTGCATGTCTTCAGGCCTGGCAGAAGACACCGGAAAGGGTCTCTTTCCATCATTTGTGCAGCCACAGCTTCACAAGACAACGTATGTTTATGTGTTTGACTGTATATCATATCGCATAGGGATGGTGCTCCCCACTCCACCTCCAGTTCTTAACCCCGTGCCCTTGCTTCCCACTCATCTCTCCCTGCCCCCAAATCTCGATGCCCCCTCCTCCCAGTTAGAGCCAGGATCCCCATACCTATCTCACAGTGTTCCCCCTGGAATTTCTTTGGGCAGTTGCATCGCTTAATGTTGGAGAAGTACTTGTAGGACACGCATGTGCCTCCATTCAGACAGCGGCATTTAGCTGAAAAGCACGAAGTTGGGGGTAGGTAAGCAAGGAGCAGGAGAGGAGAAGGTAAGGGAGGGGCCAGCCCTGCCTTAGGGACAGGGAAGGGCTGCCTCCTGAGGCTTCTCCAAGATGTCTTTCCAGCCAGATATTGTGCAAGGGGTGGATACTCACATGCATCAGACACTGGATGAAGGTCATGGCTGCCCTGGAAAAGGGGCGGGGGGAACGGGGAAAGTTTACCAAAGGTCCTACATCCCTGGGGCTCCAGGGTGTGGGTAAACTGGCCCCAATCCCACCCTTCCCTACAGCTCCCTCTCTCCTTACTCTGATCACAAATGCAAGATCATAGGTTTCCAGAGAGGAGAAAAGGATTGACTCAAGCAAGCTTCACATATCAAGTGCCAGGAGGCTGTGGCAATTCCGATGCCTTTTTCCTCCTTTGCCTGAAATGCGTACTGCCCCACTGTTTCTGAAGGTCTCCACTGCTACACCCGTCCCATTTCTCTGAGGGCCTGGCCCCGCTGGGATGCAACCGGGGTGCTCCGGCTCCCTCTGCAGCCCCTTTCCTTCCCCTGGTGCTGTTTGCGGGTCCTGTGAGCCCCTCCCACCGCTACAGGTCAAAGCAGGGAAGCCTCTCACTTCGCAGTTGCTGTCAAACAGGACACAGAGGAACAGGCAGGCCAGGGGGACTCTCATGGTGTCGAGGCCGGGGTTCTGGACAGCGATCCTGCAAGGGAAGGAGAAGTCAGGGAAAGAGGCGGAGGCGTGAGAGGGCGAACAGGGTGGGTTACTGCAGCTCAGGGCAGACCCTAGAGGTCACCTATGAGGCAAGCCTGTGGTCGTCTCTCCTCTCTGGAATTCAGGGGTCTCTGCATAGCCTAGACCCGCACCCGAAGGGAGACGCCTGGGCACGCGGAGCGGGAACCCGGCGCGCAGCCGCTGCCGGGCGCGGGCAGCCGGGGCTGGGGGAAGGGAAGCCGGGGGAGTGGGCGCCGCTGCGCATCGGCCCAGCGCTCTTAGCCTCTTAGCCCGGCCTGCACTCACCGGCAGCTGCGGCGGGAGGGGCGCGGAGCGGGACCTGGAGGATGGGCTGCCACTCCGAAACGGCCGCGTTCTGGGGCTCCAGCCTCCCGCTGTGCTGCAAGCCCGCGGCGCCCGCCGTATATTAAGACCCGCCTAGGCCGGGCCCCGCCCCGGCCCGGGATCGGCGGGTCCACCCCCTTTCCTCCGGTTCCCTGGGCAGCGTCTCGACCTGGACCCTGCGTGTTTCCTCGTCGGTGACTGAGAATGAGGAGCAGCGTGGTCTCCGGCAGAGGGGACCAACGAGGTCTGAACTGAGAGACAGAGGCATCTGACTTCCCCGCCCCTCCTCCCGTTCGCCTGTCCTGGGTCCCTCCCAGTGCAGACCACCCGTCCACCTGCACAGCCAGTTGCGGAGAGGAGAGCCCCTCCGGAGACTCTCTCCCCTGTCCAGCTCTGACGCCTCCCCCCAGGCCCCCTCAATCAGCCCTTCTCCAACTTCCCACCCTCGACCGCCAACTGCCTAAGAGAATGAACGAGAACCCTGGGTATTAGGGGCACAGTCCACAGCTCGCGTAGCTGTGAAGTGTTTTTCTCAGCATGCAAATGCATGCGGCACACGCTCGCTGAAAACAAAGACAAAAAAACCAGCCTACGGGGGCTGTTTATTTCGGATGCCGGCTCTTCCAAAATCATCCGCATAACCAGTGGATAAGACAAAACTGAGATAATTGCTCGTCAAGGTAAGGGAGTTTGGTAGTGGTTGGCGAAGGGAGAAAGCTCCGTCGGAGTTCATTGAGAATTTGCAGTTTGGTTTATGGGCAGTCTTTGAAAGTGAGGGCTTGATAAGGATTAGATAAGGGTCGAGATACAGTGTGGTGGAATCGTGAGAACAAAGTCTTAGGGCACGAACTGCTGATGTTTTCTCTTGAAGTGTCGATGGGTCTTTCAGGACGTTCCTGCAACAAACGACTCACTCACTGATTGTCCTGGGCCAGAATGTAGTTAGTTCATAAAGACAATGAGATAGTAAAGCCTTGTTAAGGTAGAGAAAAAGCTGTAGAGGGCCAGGAGGTTCTGTTTCCACCTCTGAGGAGAGCGATTGGGGAACTGGAGGACAAGAATGAGATTTATTTTACACTGTTCTAGTTTTTGAAAACATCTTTGTACCATCCACGCCAAGAAGATAATTATAGCTTTTAAATGCATGTTTATTTAGTGTTCTACTTCATCACAGGGCACTGTTTCTAATGAGATAAAGTTATTGCTTATCAAACAAGAATGAGCTCCAGTAGGACTGACCGACTGACCATGCACGAAGGACTCAAATGCTCTTCTTGCTGAAGGGCAAGGCAAACAGTTGTGTAACACACGTGCACACGCGCATATGCCATATCTCAAGGCAGAGGTGAAGGAGCACAGCAGGGACTCTGAGGCTCACTCGCCCCATCCTCTCCCTTAGTGTTGGGAACCGGGGCCCGGGGTCACTTGGATTCTCCCCACCAGGGCTGTCTCCTCTGATGAGAGGGGAGAGGTCCAAGTTCCTGTTATCACCAGGGGCCCAAATCCAGGGCTTGGTCCTCCGCCCTGCCAAGGCCTAATGCACTTTGCTACCCGGCAACCCTGGACCCTGAATTTGGGTCCATTTGAGAGGGACAGGAAGAAGAGGAGGGCAGGGAGAGTGCCAGGATGGTAGGAAGGAAGAAAATCTCTTCATCCTGTTCCAGCCAGAGGGCTCAGGTTGCCAGCCTCTGCGTGGGGAAAGTGTAAGTTAACCATCCACTTTAGGGAGGCAGGTGACCCACTGCTCTCCAGAGTGAGTTTTTCATGCCTGGCTAATCAGCTGCCAACCTCCCAGGGGACCGACTGAGTCAGAGGTGCTGTAGGTCTCCAGCCGGCCTCACTACTTCCTCTAGAAGACTGGGGCATGCTTCGTTTGGATTTAGAACCCATTAATTGTAAATAAACATGATCAGAATGTAAACAGAGGTGTTGCAGCCTTAGGACTTACCCCGAAACTCCTAGGTTAGTTACCAGGAAATTCCCAGCAGACCGTCATGATTCACAGAGCTCCCAGCAGCTCTCATGACTCCGGATTACTTGGCTGGAGGCTGTCATGCTGATTTTGGAGGGCAGGGTGACCTCATTTCCTCCCCAACAAAGAGGCCTGCAGACCGTTATGCAGCGTGACACCCCTCTCCTTCCTCCTCTCCTCCGTGGCCTCTTCACCTGGTTGAACAATCCTAGAGCCTCCAACTTTTCACAGAACTTCCTTTTCACTCTGTGAGATTGGGTGCTCTGCGAAATTTCTGTGTCCACCTTTTGGTGCATAGTCTGCACTAGTCTCTCAGTTCTTTCAGGGCAGAGACCACGTACATCTTAGCTATCTTTGTCTAACCCCGCTCCCCAGCATTTGTGGGCCCCTCCTTCACATAGGTGCTTATTATGAATGAATCAGTGAACAAGTGGGAACAGAGAGCTTTGGGGCACACTGGACATTTCCCTCCTCTCTGTCTTTTTTATCTTCCTCTTGCCATAAAAAATAGTACTGGCATTGTTTCTGTCTTGTGCTAAAGAGCACTTTAGTACAACTCATTCCTCTTTAAACTTACAATTGTCTTGTGATATAGTTAGGAATCATTATTCCTGTTTTGCAGATGAAGAAAATGAGGTGGAGAGAAGATACGTAGTTGGTGAGTAGCAAAGCCATCACTAGAATCCAGGATTCCTGATCCTCGTTCCTGTGCCCTACCCCACCCTTCCTCCATAAGAAAGGGGTCTAAGACAGATGCTTGTGAGGAGCAGGGCCAGGCAATGGAAGATGTTGCAGCTTGGAGGGGTGGAGGGAGCTCTCCTTCCAGAAACATGCCTTGGAGTGTGGGCTCTGAGATCCTGGAAAGCCCTTGCTGTGTGTAATATGAGTTAGTTGCTTGCCTGAGTTCCAGGAACTAACTTGGTGGTCTAGGATCTCTGAAGTTTCTGTCAAGTGAGAGAATAAGGAACTGAATGTGTGTGACTTCATTCTGCTCCTGACTCCCAGGGTATATGCATCAGCCCCCTGCCTCTGTGTCTCAGGGGTCCAGACCTCCTGAGTCAGATGTGGTAGCAGAGACAGAGGGGCCGCCTTTCCTGGAGCTGCTTATAAAAGAACAGGCAGATGCCAAGTGTTCAAGGAGGACCAGGATGTCTGAACTTAGCCCTGAACTGTGTCCAGGAAACTGGGCCCCTGAAGGGCTATTTTCTGACCAGCATGACCCACAGAGAAGTTCATGTCGAGTCTCAGGATGTATTCCTGGGCTGCTCTACCAAGACCGTTCAGCATGGTGCTATAGAGAGACTAGCCTCACTCTGCCCGTCCAAGTCGAATGACCTTAGGCAAGAGCTCCCCACCCACAAAATGAGGCAAGACCTACCCTGCCTGTGCCTCTTTGCAGACTTAACGAGATAACGCTTGTGTGGTGAAAGCATCTCTTCATTCCTTTATTCACTCACTCAATATTGATCATGGACCTACTATGTGCCAGGCACAGTTCTAGATGCCAGAGATAGAAGGATGAACTTTGCAAACTGTAATTCCTACCCCACGTGCCTGCCTGCCTTGCATACCTGACTATGGCTGTACTGACCCAGAAGACCAGGGCATTCCCTGGAGTCCATCCCAGGATTCCAGTTAAGTGGGGACGCTGTGTCCTTAACAAACAGTTCCCAGCAACTGGCCAGCTGTGTGTGCTGCTCGGCCCCACAGCCTCGACTCCTACTCCCTCCTCTCCCTTCTCTGTGGCCACAGCTCTTGTCTTTCCTGCCTCCACCTGGGTCAGACGGACTTCTCTGCAGTTCTTAGCTGGAGTCACTGAATGCTGGTCACATAGCTTCCTTGGGTCTGAGGATTCCTCCCTGTGTGTGTTTAGTGCTGAGAGGGAAGAGGCTGCTCTCACTCACAGGAGGCACTGAAAGCCAGGTCTTGGGCCTGTAACATGATAGGGAAAGCTGCGGAAGCCGCTAGGCCCCCAGTGGCTGTGGAAAGAATGGGGCTAGGGAAGCCACATACTTGCCTCCTTACTCATGGAAAGCAAAGAGCCCAGGGGGTGCACCCTGTGGTTATACTATCACAGGAGCCGAGCCGTTCCCTCCAGCTTTAGCCTATGCCCTCCCACCTTTCCTCGCCCTTTCCTCTCCCCATCTCTGACCCACCAGGCCAGTCAGCTCAGAACACTGCACGAATATTTTGAGACTAGGCCAAGTTTTTCTTTTTCCCTATCCTAAACCTATTTACTTCGTCAGTCAGGAACCAAATTCCTTAAAGGGATGTTGGTCATTGATTTCCAGACTTTCTGGATTCTGAGTCCCCACCAGGGTCCAAAGCTGGGCCCAGGCAGGCCCTGGAATTTCAGCTTAGAGCCCAGGTTATCACGTAGGATGGCAACAGCTGCTTGAGTGGAAGCTAAAGGAGGCGCCCAGGAACAAAGGGCTGGGATGGGAAACCAGAAACTGGTGGGTTTGCTGAAAACTGCCACGAAGTCAAGGATGTTTAAGGAAATATGTTCAGCCAGGAGCTAGTATTCTCAAAAAGTTGTTCATAAGAAAACCAACCTAACATTTATATAGCCCACATGATGTATAATTTCATGTGCTCGTGCCTCTCCCACGCTGGATTCTATACGCTCCTCTGTCTTCAAAGTAAGTGCCAGCACCTCCCCTTCTATTACACAGCGAGGAAAGGAGAGGGCTAATAAAGGGAAGTGAATCATCTGAGTTCATTCACTGAAAAGGATGAGATTCAGAATTCACCGATTTTGAGGAACCTCGTGACACATTTCCACCCTCTCTCCTATTCTGAATCCTCGCTGCTCCCTTCCTGACCACTCTCAATCCCCGCCCTCAGTCTCTTTGTCTCCCTACTTCCTACTTCCTACCCACCTGCAGAAAGTGCTTCTCTGCTCCAACGGGTGCTGATAGCAGTGTGATGAGGCAACCAGGCCCTGGGGAGCGGTCAGTCTCCTTTCTGAAGGTATCCCAGAAAAAAGTAGATGGAGGTCTGTGGGAACCAGGAGCAGGGGCACGCAGGAAGCCCCTGAGACAGGTGTGCATGCAGAGTGAGCGGAAGGAGCAGTATGTAGGTAAACGAACCAGGAGGCTCCTGGTTACTTTGAGAACAGTGATGGTGGGGAGTGTGACGGGAATGAAAGAAGAAAAAGTCTATTCTTTCCAAGGGGATATTGTAATCTGTCTCTTGTTATATAGATAGTTAACAATAGCTGACTTGTATTTGCTTTATATTCTTTTTCAAAATTACCAACAACTTTTAAGGAAGATACTATTAATAGCACCATTTTATGGGGGAGAAAACTGAGGGTCACAGAGTTTAAGCAGTTTACCTAAGGTCACACTATAGATAAATGGTAGCACTGTGAATCAGCCAGACCTAGCTGATTCCAGGGTTCGGAGAACTGTCTCTGAGGTAGTACTGCATTCAGTCAGGAAGGTGGGGTACCTCTCTCAGTACCTGGGAATCATCCCACTTCTAACCTATGGTGCTCTCTTAAGGTAGCCCAGCTCTCCAAGTCAGGTCTGTGTTGGTTGCTGCCTGCCCAGCTCAAGCCAGACTTTGATAAAAATGGTCTTCCTTTTGCTTAATATAGCCAGCCACACTTGTGTCTGCTAAGTCTAGTCAGAGAAGTGAACATTGGGTCTTCTGGTTATGCTTGTATATCTGCGTGGATCCCTGGAGCTGTCCTTGGCTAGTCTTCCTTCCTCACATTATTCACCCATTTTTATATAATGGGGTTGCCCTAAGGCTCTTCTGTGGAGAAATAAAAATAGCACCTATTTTTATACACTTTATTCGACAGGAATTGGGTAACCATATGCATTATCTCCTTTAATCTTCAATGAGGGAGATGCAATGTCATCCCCACTTTATAGATAAAGAACTGAGACTCTGAGAGGTTAAGGTCACACAGCCAAGTCAATACCTTGCAGATCAAACCCAGGATTCCAAATGCTGTGTCGATAATCATGATGATGGTGTTGTCACTTTACCCCTTCCTGAGGGGAAAAAAGTACCCTGTTGAGTAGGTGCCAGAATCTGTAGTAAGAAATATTCACTAATGGTTTGTTTTTTTTCTAGCTTTGTCTGATGATAAGCATCACCTGGTTTGAAGATTTAAAGGTACAGTATTCCAGGTACTTCTTCAGAAATTCTGATTCAGTAGGTCCAGGATGACTCCTAAGATGTATTCCAGAGGATTCTTACCACTAAACAAGTTTGAGGGAAATTTCAGCCAATCCATATCTAGGGAGTGTTGGTTTATTTTTTCACCTGGGAATGCCAATGACATTCTAAACTTTCTTTCTACTGAGGCTTCTACTCCAGCCCCACCTTTGGGATGGAGGCCAGAGGAGAAGGTAGAGGCGGGAAAGGTCCAGGGCTGGAAGGCCAGCTTGTAGACAGATTTCCCAGACAGAGATGAATCAAGGAGGGATGTACACCCGAGAGCCTCGTGCCAACCCAGCCACCGTGGGGTGATTCCCCAAGACGCTATGCTCCAAAAGTTAATTGCTTCAACACTTTTATACTTGTTCTCTTTTAGATCCCATTGATAGTTTCATTTTTAAAATGCCAAATGGATGGCTCATGGAGGGACTTTTTCACAGAGAAACTAAAAGATCTTGGAGAATAAGATAACCCTCTCATTGGCAGTGAATGGCAGTGAATGAAATATTGGCTTCCCAAGACTTCAGGAAAATTGGGAGAAACTGAGTAGAGAGCAAAGCAGAACCGAGAATACCTGGACTTATTAGTGCCTTTCTACCTGTGACCCCTCCTCACAGTGCCTGTGCTGGTCCTCGCCAAAGATTCAAGAAGATCTTCCCAAGCTTCTTATTTTTTCCCTCAGATCTTCTGGTTTCTGAATAGAACCAGATTTCCAGAGCATCGTCCCTGTGCAAGGAGAGAGGGAAGGACCTCCGACAGCAGTGGGCCCAGCATCTTGTGGGAGGACCACGTTTGCTTTTTTAGTCAAGGGGAAAGCAGCAGTGACATTGTCCCCACGCACAGCATCCTGGGTGTATTCGGTCTGTATCACGGCAGTCCAGGCTCTTCTATTTGTAAAGAAAATTCTACCCCAAGTTCTAAAAATGAAAGAATTGAGCTCAACTCAAACTGTTAATTTCATTCGCTCAATTAAAAGTTACTTTTAGCCCTGGCTGGTGTATCTCAGTGGATTGAGCACGGGCCTGCAAACCAAAAGATCGTGGTTCGATTCCCCATCAGGGCACATACCTGGGTTGTAGGCCAGTTCCCAGCAGGGGCCAGTTCCCAGCAGGGGCTGCACGAGAAGCAACCATACATTGATGTTTCTCTCCCTCTCTCCTTCCTTTCCCTTCTAAAGATAAATAATTTTTTTTAAAAAGTTACTTTCAAATACCTAACGCATGTCTAGCGTTGTGCTAGGCCCTGAGGGTACACAGAAGAACAGACATGACCCCTGTCCTGAAGTTTAAAATCTGGTAAAGAAGACTATGTGTGTGTGTGTGTGTGTGTGTGTGTGTGTGTGTGTAAATAAATTAAAAGCCATTAAGTGAGCTGGCTACCTTATTTTTAAAAAGATTTTATTTATTTATTTTTAGAGAGAGGAAGAAAGGGAGAAAGAAGAAACACTAATGTGTGGTTGCCTGTCACATGCCCCCCACTGGGGACCTGGCCCACAACCCAGGCCTGTGCCCTGACTGGGAATCAAACCAGCAACCCTTTGGTTCACAGGCCACACTGAGCCACACCAGCCAGGGCTGAGCCGGCTCCTTAAATAAATAAATAAATAAATAAATAAATAAATAAATAAAATAACAAGTGTTGGCAAGGATGTGAAGAAGTGGAAGAAACTGAACTCCTTGTGCACTGTTGGTGGGGACCTGAAATGATGCAAACTGCTTATGGAAAATAGTGTGGTGGTTCCTCAAAATGAAATTAAACATAGAACTGTCAAGTGACCCAGCAATACCACTACTGAATATATATCCAAAAGAGTCAAAAGCCAGGGCTCAAAGAGATATTTGCACATTCGCAGCACTATTCACAACAGCCAAGAGGTGGAAGCGACCCAGATATCCACTGACAGATAAATGGCTAAGTCAAATGTGGTCTATACATACAATGGAATATTGTTCAACCTAAAAGAGAAGGAAATCTTGTCACACACTACAACATGGGTGAACCTGGAGGACATTGCGCTAAGTGAAATAAGCCTGTCACAAACAGGCAAATACTCTATGATGCTACGTGTACCTTTAGATGTAGAGGCATCCAAAGCTCAGTAGTCTCCCTCTTATTCACGGTTTCACTTCCTGCAGTTTCAGTTACCTGTGGTCAACCATGGTCCAAAAATATTAAATGGAAAATTTCCGAAATAAACCACTCATAAGGTTTAGATTGCATGCCATTCTGAGTAGCATGACAAAATCTCATGCAGTCCCTCTCTGTCCCACTGCCCCTCCTGGGCTGGGAATCATCCCTTTGTCTAGAGTCTCCACGCTGGCTATGCTACCCTCCCATTAGTCACGTAGCAGACGTCTTGGTTATCAGATTGATTGTCAAGGTATCACAGTGCTGTGTTTAAGTAACCCTTATGGTCAGGTCAGTAGTAGCCTAACTTCACCTTACAATGGCTGTGTCATTCGCCTCCCTTTATCTTATCATATGGACATTGTATCATCTCACATCATCAATCACAAGAAGAAGAAGAGAGAGTAAAGTACAGGAAGATATTCTGGGTTTGGGCTGGAGGGATTTGGGGGGAGGGGCAGGACTGATAAACCCCTGAGACTGGGTGGAGGGGGGGCGGGGTGAGAACTGGAATGAGAGGACACCAGCAAGGAAATGGCAGTGCAAAGGAAGGCATTAGGACTGCTCTAGCTGTCTTTGTTCCTGTTCTGAGGGTGCTTTTGTTTTCCCAAACACTCATGGTCATATGTTTTGCTTTACAAAGAGCCTTAGAAAGTTCTATGGAAGGGCTGAAACATGAAATCCACATTTGAAAGCCAATAGTCTCAGGGATTTGAGTGGGAAGACTGAGGGTAGAGAGCCCCACTGCCCAATCCCAGTGGCACCTGTCAAGTACACAGGCCATATCTCTGAGCTCGAGGGAGAGCTTTTTCTTGAGGAAGAGGTGACTGCCTGTGGCGAGGGCTGTGGTTTCAGGAGTCAGAAGACAGAGGCCCATTCCCTGATGGTTGCTGACTCCATCTGTGACCCTTGGTGAGTCACTTCCCTCCGTGGGCCTCCGTTTTCTCTTTTGTGGAATGCAGAAGGACTTTTTTCCACCTGCCTTTGCAGAAGACAGAGCAGCTGAAGAAAAAGAAATTTACATCAGCACCTTTAAGCAAAGGAGTGAGGCTTGGGCTGAAGCAAAGGCCAGGATGTCTGGGGACCTGGGGGGGCCTGGTTTGACGCACCCTGCTCTTGACATCAGAAGTCCACAGAGAGGACGTGCGTATTAAACAAGATAAACAAATGTTGCCCCAGAGAGCCTGGGTTCTGGGAATGTGAACAGGGAATCCTGACCGAAATTCCAGGTCTCCGAATTTCCCTCACGGAGTCATGAGGCTCAGGCAACGGGTGAATCACCCACCCAGAATCTGCGTTAGAGATCTGAACCACGGAATCCAGCCTCAGCAAAGGAAGGGGCTAGAGAGCAGCCTGATTCAAATAGCTTGGGAGTTGTAGCTAAAATATAAGCTGTTCCCTTGGGTCCTGATGACACCAAGAAACAATTTAGCCCGAGGCTCTGGATGCAGTTCTAGGCCTGGGGTCAGTGGCAGGTCAGAGCCATAAAGTCGGTCCCCATGGAGTCCGCACAATCGTCTCTGGTCTGGAAGACTGCATGGAAAAAGGAACTCAGAAGACTGTTGATCTAAAGAAATTGAATTAGTGTTTTTCCCAGAGTCTGTATTATTTTTTAGTCCAATTCTCCATAAGCAAAAGGTAGAGGGAAAAAAGCAGCTCTTCAGAGCCTGAAGGAGAGACCAGAGGGTCAGGAGAAGGAAGGATGTTGGCTGCTGATCAGCAATGATGGTGGTTTCTCTGCCACAGGGAAATGCCCATCGTCAGAGCCAGGGGTGGAGAAGACCCTAGAAATCTGGAGCACTTGGACTGGAGAACACACACTGTGTTCACATACCACCTCACACCTGTTAGGATGGTTATTATCAAAAAAGTGGAAAATAACAAGTATTGGTGAGGATGCGGAAAAATTGGAACCCTGTGCATTGCTTGCTGGTGGGAATGGAAAATGGTGCAGCCACTGTGGATGAGAGTTTGGCAAATCCTCAAAAGTCGCATAGAACTAACATACGTTCAAACAATTCCACTCCTAGGAATACACCCAAAACAACTGAAAGTGGAGACTCAAACAGGTGTCTGCACACCCGTGTGCACAGCAGCATTATTCACAACAGCCAAGAGGTGAAGCGACCCAGCTGCCCATTAACAGAAGAATGGATAAACAAATGTGGCATAGCATGCAATGGAATACCACTCAGACCTAAAAAGGAATGAAATTCTGATACATGTTCCAACATGAATGGACCTTGAAAACATTATGTTTAGTAAAATAAACCACACACAATAGGTCATATGCTATGAACTTTTCATGATTCCACTTAAAATGAGGTACCTAAAATAGGCAAATTCATGCAGAGAAAAAGTAGAACATAGGGGTTACCAGGTGTTCAGGGGAAGGGGTTGGGGAGTTATTGTTTAATGGGTACAGAGTTTCTGTTTGGAATGATGAAGTTCTGGAAATGGGACCTGGCTGGGTAGCTCCGTGGGTCAGAGCACTGTCCAGATACGCCAAGGTTGCAGGTTCCATCCCCAGTCAGGGCACATGCAAGAAGCAACAATGAATAAATAAATAAGTGGAATGACAACTCTCTCTCTCTGTCTCTCTCTGTAAAACCAATCAATAAGTTTTTTTAAAGAAAGAAATATTTCTAGAAATGAATAGTGGTGATGGTTGTATAACAATATGACTATACTTAATTCCACGGAACTGTACACTTAAAACAGATAAAAAATAGATTTTATATTTTCTTTTTCCACAATAAAAAATAAAATATTTTAATGGTTAAAATGGTAAATGTCACATTATATATATTTTGCAAAAAATGAATAATTGCCAAAAATGGGGCAGGGAGGAGGGAGTGCCATAACACAGGGATCTACCAGGCCCTGAGATGAGACTCGGAAACACAGGACATGAGAAGGCGGCAGCAAAGATATTCGAAGTCGTGAGCTGGGACGGGGACAGGGACTGGGATGGAGATAAACAAACTCATCTGTGAAGGAAAAGGATAGTACAGGAGTCAGAGATGAGACAGAGAAGTTGAGACCGACACAGGGCCCTGTTAGGGGGTAGAGCTACATATGAAGAAATAAAAGAGCATTGGAGGGTCTTATCTTTCAAAATAAGTCTAAAGTCTTTGGCAGACACATGGGTTTCCATGTCCGATTGCTGCAGGGCTTATGGTGGGTGCTTCTGGGATCTTCAGCTACTCCACAGTGGTCAGCCGGCAGTTGTTCTCTGAGGCTTCCTGTCTCATTTTAGAGCTGACAGACACCACAGTGAGTCAGTCCTACCAAAGACTGACTCATTTTTGACCCAGTTTTGATAATCAAGCACAATACTCTGGTATTTGGCACTACGGTGAGAAAGGTACGATGGGAGAATGGCTGCAAGACTGAGGCTCCCAGCTCCTTCCTGTCACCTTCCCACTTCTTTGTAAAGTTTCAAGAGAATTGCATTTAAAGTCAGGGAGACTTGGGTTCAAATTCTGGCTTGTCTTGTACAAGTCGTATGACATTGGGCAAGTCACTTAACCTCTATAAGCCGTGGTTTCCTCGCTTGTAAAGTGGGGCCCCAGAGCTCTGCAGCCTGTGTGGGGGATTCGATGAGGTAACGTATCAGACACCTCTCAGCATTTTTGCTTGTCACAAAGAAATTGCCCAGTAAGTTAAGCCTGTTATTATTTTTTTATAAATATATTTATATTTTTTTTAGAGAGAGGGGAAGGGAAGGAAAAAGAGTGGGAGAGAACCATCAATGTGTGATTGCCTCTCATGTGTCCCCTACTGGGGACCTGGCCCACAACCCAGGCATGTGCCCTGACTGGTAATCGAACTGGCGACTATTTGCTTCACCGGCCCGTGCTCAATCCACTGAGCTACGCCAGCCAGGGCTCAGCCTATTATTATTATCACAACTGTTATTAGTATCCTGAGGTACTAAGGTCACTTGGATTATTTAAGATCATTTTGCCAGAGGGGCCATGGGGACCTAAATCTGATCTGGGCTCCCCAATTTACTAGCAGTGTGACCTTGAGCATTTTCCCTTTTTCTTTTCTTTTTTTTTTTAGAGAGAGGGGAAAGGAGGGAGAAAAAAAGGGAGAAAAACTTCCATTGATTGCATCTCATACACGCCCCGACCAGGGGCCAAACCTGCAGCCGAGGCCTGTGCCCCAACCAGGCATCGATCCAGGGACTTTTGCTTTGCAGCATGACGCTCAACCAAGCCAACCAGCCAGGGCGCGCCTTTTCCCCACTGAGTCCCAGTTCTCTCATTTGTAAAATGGGGACGGTTACATAGAGTTGTAAATGTTAAATAAAATAATGTGCCTAAGAGATTTATAAATAACAACAAAGGTACAGATGTATAATGTAGTTAATCAGAAGTGTGGGTGTATCTGGGCCATCATGTTAGAGTCACGATGGGAATCCAGGTTGAGATGGGCTCCAGGGTTGTAAAAACAGTTGTGACCAGGGTTGGCACTGGGGTCAAAGCAGTGTTTGGGGCTAGGAGAGGGATCACGGGCAGGTACAGGGGAGGGAGTTGGCCGGGGGTTTTGGTTCGGGCCAGGAATCCCAGAGGATCCTGTGCACTGTCTGCACCCTGAGGGGCACAGCAGCTCTGTGCGGTGACTCACGGCCCAATGATGCGCTGCCAGGCATGAGTCTGTCATCCAGCGATCTTGCTTTGAGAGAAAGTAGAATGGAATACTTAACAAATCCCGAGACTTGTGGAAGTGCAGGCCTTTAGGGGGACCGTCCAATCGCAGCAGTTTTACCACCTTGCTTCCTTCATCCCTTCTCCCCACAACCTGGTAGGGAGCTCAGCCACACTAGCCTCTCCCCAGTTGCATCCTCCACAGCACAGCTTCCCACAGCTCTCACAGTCCTTCCCCCATCATCCATCCGCCACCGGTTGTCTGTCATTATTCATTCAACAAAGGTTTATCGAATACTTACCGGTAAGCACTTTGCTAGGTCCTGAGGACCGTGCAGTGATGGAGGCAGGCCTATTGTCTGTCCTCGGGAAGCTGCAGTCTAGAAGGAAAGGCTGATAGTGCAGCAGATTTGTGTGTATTTATAGGGGTGGTAGTAGATTCTAAAATCAGTTCAGAGACAAAGATTACAAAATTATTCTTGAAAATTCCTTAAGTCACCAGGACCTTGGCATTTAGAAGTACAAAGGCCAAGAAATAACACTGATTTCTCTGTGTACTTTGGATGTGATCATGAGGCAGAAGATGTAGCGATCTGGCTTTTAATGGTAGAATGAAACTTTAAATAAAGGAATTTCTTTGTTTCTCGGTCTTTTAGCTGAATGTGTATAGTTGGGTTTGTACTAAGTTAACTGCATTAATACTGGGAGCCCAGTGTAAATAAAATTACACCAATATGTTTCTAATTATTGTGAATTCATTAAGGAA